GCGAGTGCCCACCGGCGCCGGTGGCCTAATCGTGACGACGATTCGTTACAGTCGAGCGCGCCACAAGCACGTTTTATCGATAATATCGAGCGTTTATGGCTGGAAAATCGTATCGAATAGGCGCGACCGATCCGCCGGCGACACCTCCGCAGAAAAAGATCGCGAAGGTGCGCGAGATAAAATCGCGGCCGTATTTCGTAATTAACGGCGCGCGACACCGAAGAAAATAAACGAATCCTTCGAATTCCATGCTGAGGTTTCCACGGCTAATAATAGCGCGCGGTCGCGCCGCATATGCACGCCCGAGGAAGCCGGCACATTTGGGGAAAGAGAGGCGGGAGAAAGCGAATGAGAAGCGGGCGGGTAACGACGAAATAGTCGCGTCAGCTTCGCGGAGACACCCCGCTTCGGAAAGACAGATCGGATTCTCGGCGCTGACGCGCGGGAGAAGGACGGAAAAAAGACAGAGAGAGAGAGAGAGAGAAGAAAGAAATCGAGCGAATGTAGGTAGGACCTGCGTATTACACGGATGAGAATTGAAGAGCGAGAGGATGGCATTTACCAATAGCTACACAATCAAAGTTATGACCAGAAGGAAATGAATCTAAAAATAAAACATATATATATATATATATATATATAAGGCGAGTTAGTCGCGCGGCTGGCGGAAAGACGGTGACGCGAGAGTGGGAAGGGTTGGTCGACCGGCAAGACGGTGGCGGCGGCGAGAGAGAAGCGAAGAGAGAAAGAGAGCGCGAGCAGACGCGACGGGATGGACGGACGAACTGACGAAGAAAGAGCGAGGCGAGTTTAGCGAGCGAGAATGCGAGAGAGGAGACGGGGGAAGGAACGGATGGCAGACTCTGAGGACGGGGCGCCGCCGTCGAGCGTGTGCGGTTGAGGATGGGCAAGCGACGACGAGGGGATCGGCGCGCGGGGGCACCGTCCGTCGCGGCGCGGTGCGGCGCGGCGCGGCGCGGCGGAACCGTCGGCGGGATCGGAGGGGGTACGAGGTGGGACGCGACGGCCGCGAAGAGAGAGGGGACCGTAGCCCGGCGCCGCTGCGTGTCATTGCTGGCGCCAGCTAATTGTCGAGGCCAGCCGGCATTAGCCGAGGAGCTGACCGAACTGAGTCGAACTCCACGAAAGCAGGCAGGCAAGCAGGCGAGCGAGCAGGCAAACGACGAGAACCCCAAGCTCCGACCTGACCCGACTTGGGTCGCGTTGTGCGGTCGACTCGCCGCGCCGGTCGAACAATCACGCCGACTGATTCTTCCCCTAATTCGTCTCAGGCTTGTTATACCGACTATTATTTGTGTAAAATCCTGGTAATGAATAGATATCGCATGCTGCTTCGAAACGAAATGAATCATTTCGCCTTTAGCTTCTGTTAACGTTGGAATTGGAAAATGAGATCTTATTCGTAAATTCTCGTATAAATATATTTTCAAGCATTTAGTTTTCCTCGACATGTTTGGTGACAATGATTAGAACTCGATCATTATGTACAATCGTTTTAATATTAGAGGGTATGCTAATTTATTGCCATTATGTACACTTTCTGGGGCAAATAGTATAAATACATTTTGCTTGTAGTACTGACCTTCGATCGTTGAAATTTTTGAGAATCATCGGAATTGGGGACAGCGAAGGCGTCGAGAATCTTGGCTGGTACCGATGTTTATTATATTCTCAATCTCTGGGACGCGCGTGTTGGTGGTTTCGACGGATCGGGAATAGGTTTCCTAGGAATTCGAGTTCTCTCTCGCTACGCATCGCGGAGAATTCCAAAGGCACTTTAGTCCGTTGTTCATAACAAAGACTGACCACGCACTGAAATGATGTTCCGCTCGGGTATCCACGTGTTGGCATTCGCGGACATTATCATATGTATCCATATCGTATATAAATAAGAATTCTACAGTGTTTTGTAAAAGAAATACTCTGTATCGTTCAAGAAATAATCAGAACTATGGAATTTTAATGTTAGGGTGCTACCTTCAAACACGTCAAAAAATTGCATCGTCCTACATATGTAAGAAATATCTTTCTTACTGATTCTATATATTTTTACATACATAAAATATTTAGAAAAATAATTTACTAAATCTTGATATATATTTTTTAATAGAACTGAGTAAACATCTACTTACAGTAAATAAATATTTACCCAATAAAAAATTAATTCAAATTGATAGTTCTTGTACCAAATAAATATATATTTACATTTAGTAAATATTTACTTTGAACTATTCAAACAAACATTCATTAAAATTGAGTATACTTTTTTTCAGTGTATACACGTTTATTTTAGTATACAGTGACGCATGCGTTATTTAGCCCACATCGCTCGAAATAACGCGCGTATTCAATATGCAATGACGCGTGTACGGCGACCGGCGCTCGCCTATTTTTCCCGTCGGCTCAATTTACGCGCAACCTCGCTGGCTCGCAAACAGACACCGGACGTGACCATTGTCAGCGCGATCGCCGGTCGATAGCGTAAGTTAATTTCGCATCAAATCGCGGAATTTTATCGGGCGTAAATCGCTCCCGCGGTGGCGCCTTGTTTTTCGTAACGCTGCGACACAAACCCGCCGTTTTTATCTGTTTTTTTTTTCTGCGTTCGGTGGCCGTTCGTTCACACATTGCCGCGGCAGCCAGTTAATAATTCACGCCAGCGAATCGATTATCATCGGTCAGTCGGCGACAGCAACGGCGACGATGGCAGCGGCGGCGGCTGTGTGTCGTCGTTACGCAAATCGTTGCGGCGCAGGTTTTTTATCACCGCACCGCGCGATTCGGCGCGTAATGTGCGTGACTTTCTCCGCCGCTCCTTCTTCTCCCGCGCTCCGATATTCATTCATACTCGAAAGCGCGAGGAGGCGACTTTCATATTATAGGGTAAGTAGAGTCCCTAGAGAGAGTCTGGCCATGCAAACACAAAATGGCGTAGGTATAAAATATGTGTGCGTGTTTGAAATGTGTGTGTCTTTGGTGTGAATGTATTCTACACTTTGATTGGTAACGCCATTGTGAATGCATGCCAATCAAAAGGAGTCTAGACGATATCCAGACTCTGATTGTGAGTGCGATCCACTTCACGCTGTGAATGCTTTTTGAAACATTTTTTCATTGGTCAATTCGCAAAATTCCTTCTTTTGATTGATCAACGAAGCATTTGCAGCGTTAAATGATACCTTCTGTTTCTAGGGACTCTAATGTCCGTTTCTACCAATGTAGATTAATTTTAATCTCGGTTCAAGTTGTTGTTTATGTTTTTCTAATTCTTAGAAAAAGATGAAAAGTTAGTTGAACCAAGATTAAAATTGAATTACAATGATAGGAACGGAGATATAAGCTCGATTCTATTATCGTAAGATTAATTTTAATCTCGGTTCTATTTATTCCTTTTCCAATTCTAAGAATTAAAGTCTAAGGACAAGGTGGTACAATTTCGAACATGATACAATTCTGAACGAAGTAAGATTTTAATCCAAATTCAAAATTCAAGTTTGGTAACTTATTGAAAGGTATTATCAACGATTTCTTTGGATTTAATCAATTTTATTAAATTATTATTTTATTTTATTTTATCATAAAGGAAACCAACAAACAGGAAAACCCAAATTTAAACTTCGAAAATTGTATTCTAATCTTATTTAATTCAGAATTGTTCAACCATGTTCGAAATTGTACCACCTTATCCTAATCTTTTTCGACGCGATTTATTGGGAATTATTTACGAACGACACGTGCAATTTTTTTTCTTTATCCGAAAAAAGATCGAAAATCTTTCTGTATCGTTCGCGTGTGACATCTTCGCCTTGAGATCGATAGGTATGCGATGCGGACGATCGATTCAGTAAATATAATAAAATTCATCTCCCTCTGCTGACAATCGGATAAACAGGCCTAGAAATAGGCGCGTCTCGGTTGGAGGGAGACGCTCAGCGGCGCGAGTTACGTAACTAACAGCCACGGGAGCGCCGCGCGTTTATTATAAGTGCCTTAATTAGGGGCTGAAATATCGCCGTTTAAATCGCGCTCCCATCTTGTTATTCAAATCGTGCCAACTCTGGCCCGGAGTTTGAAGTGCGTCGATGAGTGACATGCCGCGCCGGCTTTATTAAAACTCGGCGGCGACGCGGCGGCCGGTCGGTCGGTTCTGGAGAGGGATTGAGCCGAGTATGATTAAGAGAGAGAGAGAGAGAGAGAGAGAGAGAGAGAGAGAGAAAGAGAAAATGATAAAGAGAGAAACCAGCCGCGAAGAGGATTCGCGTGTAGGCGCGACAGACGGCCATTACACGTCGACGCCGCGCCACGCTTATTATCTAGGAATTTCGGCGCACTAGTCATTAGTCGACAAATGTGTACTTTCCTCGAAAAGTGGCCTTAAAACGGGTGTTATTTTAGATACGCCGATTCTAAATACAATATCAATATGTGATTTTAATGATTTCGTAATCTATGATTTCAAATGTTGATTACGTAATATTATTATTGTTGTATTTCTCAGTGTTTGAATTTTTAATCAGACGGTCGATAAAAATGGTCATTAAAAGAAGTAAAAATCTAATTATTTTTATCGAAAAATATTATATTCTTTCTTCGGAATGGAATAATTACTACAGTATATATTTTTTAAAGTATGAAATAAATTTTTTGAATTATGCAAAAAAAGTTTTTTAATTTGTAAAAATTATTTGAAACAATTCAATGTTTAAATGAAGCTAATTGATTACTAAGCTTCTCGTGGCAAGGATTCCTTGAGGATTGCAGTTATGCACGTACTTACACGCGTGGTCTCAGTGGGCTTCGAGTGACGCGAAGGCGGTTTCGTTCTCTTAGACACGGAGAGCGTCAGGTTACCTTGACGTTCGAGATATTCGCGCCGCGGTTTGTCCTCTATTACTTTCAGGGCAATACGTAAAAGGACGAAAAATGGCATACCGGTTTCGCTTCACGCTAATAATAGAATCTACCATTTTTGGAGTTTTCTAACGGGCGCCTGTCGTTTGTTACAACAATATTTCGTGTAGCCATCAATGTCATTAATACGATTTAATCAAAAGTTACCGGAGCCTTGAGTCTATTTTTCAAGAATGTATTAAAGCAAATGTATTAACAATAAGCAGCGACTCGGGCCGAAATTAATAGAAATTATCTTATTGATATACTCTCTAAATTTCTTTCTCACTCCAAGAAATTTAGAGATGATATTACCCTTAACGTTTTTCACTGTTTTTTGTATGTGTCCGAATTTGAGGCAAAATAATTCAAAATTAAAAATTTCCCAGGATCTTCAAATGACTTCCAGTTGGATCACTGAGGGTTAATATTAATTTTATTATTATTTAATATTAATATTAATTATTTAGATTCCGAATATAATTATTGAAATAACAAGTTGAACTAAATTATTTATATTATTAAAAAATATTAAAATGAAAAATATTTTACGTTTTACATTAAAATTTATTAATAATGATATATAGTTTATTGCCTATATTTGTCAATTTATCCAGTTCTCAGTCATACCATGATACATAACGATTATCATTTTCTATTTCAGAGTCGCCACCACCCCCGTATTGCCTTATCGCCGATAGACTGAGACCCGAAGGTGAGTGTTTCGTCTTTCATGCCGTAATCAAGAATGTCTCTAGCGAATGTGTGCGAGTGCTAGTATATATTTGTCTATATGTGCGTTGTCTTCACGCACCCATACCGGCGATAACTCATGTTTATTGCTTGCAAACGTTTACCGTACAAGCAGCGAGGTTCTCTTTTAGCGCGCGTGTCGTGTCTCATGACCTAGCCCAAAGCAAGGTTGGGGATAATCCGGGACGAATGTGAGTGCCAACGTTTCCGTCTTTCGGAGTATCGCGTCGGTTAATCTCTATGTATGTTCGAGATTGCGCGAACAATACGTAATAATTCAATTAAGAGATTATTCAATTTTTTTTTCAATTAAGAGAAATAAATTATTTTTAATTAAAGCAGATCTTAACGCTCAAATATTTCAGAGTTAGTTAATATATATACAGGGTGTTTCCAAATTAAATGGCAAAACTTCGGGAGCGTGTAGAGGAGTAAAAAACTAAGAAAAAAAGTCCTATAGACATATGCTCGTTTTTGCTCCGTTTCAGAGAAATCGAAAAAAAATGTTTTTTTTACCTGCAAGATTAAATGGGGACCGTTTTCTAAATTTCTTGGAGAATGAATTTTCTGACTATTTAGAAAACATCCCATTACAACAACGTACTGAAATGTGGTTTCAATTAGATGGATGCCCTGCTCATTACAGCAGAGTCGCTAGAACCTGGTTAGATAGAAAATTCCCACAACGATGGATTGGACGTGGAGGAGCAGTACATTGGGCAACTCGTTCGCCCGACTTAACGCCATTAGATTTCTATGCATGGGGTACTCTGAAGCAAGAAGTTTATTCTTCGCCTATTCAATCAGAGCAACATTTGAGAAATCGTATCGTAGCTGCAGCGAACAGAATATCGCAAGAACAGTGCCTGGCTGCTACAAGAGCCGTGTTTGACAGATGCAATGCTTGTATTGCTGCAAGAGGTG